ATACTTAACAACAACAGCAATAACAACAATATAAAAATGTTGACTAAGATGTATGAAGCAACTAGAAGTCTTATACATTGTTACTGGAATATACATAATGGCACAACCACTTTGGAAAAAGGCCTGACAATTTCTTATGAAACTAAGCTTACACCTATCCTATAAATCAACAATTCCACCCTAGATAATTACCCAAGAAATGAAAAGACACAAAAAATAAGAAGTCACTTTATTCAAAAAGCTTGTCAATACTATGTTCATCAATGGGAGACCAGATGAGCAGACTGTGGTATATTCCTACAATGGAATATTACTCAGCAATAATAAGAAGAGTAAGCCAGTACAAAGAAGAATGTGGATTAATCTTAAAAATATGCAGCATGAAAATTTTTTTTTTGCATAGTAATTCTATTTATATCAAGTTCCTCAATAGTTGAAATTATTCTAAAGAGAAAAAATGTTAGAGCAGTGGTTACCTCTAGAAATGTGGAGGTGGTAACTTATTGGGAAAGAGTGTAAGGGAACACGGTGGAATAATTGTAATATTCTATGTCTTGATAAAGGTTTGAATTACACAAGTATATTCGTTTGTCAAAAGTCAACAAGTGTACACAAAATATGTAGAAGTCAGTGCATGTAAATTTTACATGAAAAGAAACAAAAGATAAATCAAAAATTTATTCTGATTAATGATATGCCTGATGACGTATTTAGGGAGAAATGCCCTGATACCTGCAACTTAATTTGAAATGTATGAAATTACTGAATGAATAGAGAGATGGCTAGATGAATGTGATAAAACAAGTAGAGTAAAATGTTAATGGTAGAATCTAGGTAGTGAGTAAACATGTGTTCACAGTAAAAATGCTTTCAGCTTTTCTGGGTGTTTGAAATATTTTAGAATAAAATACTGGAAAAAATAAAAACAACAAGTGGAGGAAAAAAAAAAAGGATGTCCACAGCCAACATCGGTATCAAACAAAAGAATTACAGCACCATGCCTATTTCTTAAAAATGAGAAAGTTCCCACAGTTGTTTTTTATGTTTGAGCTCAGTGTTACTGTTTCATTTAGGAATGGAAATTTAGTTCCTCTGGGTTTCTTTTAATAATACCTGTACCTATACTTGTGGCATAATGCCTTTCTTAAATTGTGGGAAATTATCAATAATGATCCCTTTGACTAAAGTCTCTTCGTTCTCTTTGCTTTCTCTTTTTGAAACTCTGATTAGATTTGTATTAGACATTCTCATTCTACCTTATTGTCTGTGGATCTCTTTTTCATAAGCTCTTACTGTTTCTGTGCTGCATTCTAGGTAATTTTTATCAGGGCATTAACACTGTTTTTAACTGTGTCTATAATCGTTGTGGGTTAATGCGCCAGACTGCAGTGCTGTTTGAACTGCAAGGTTGGTGGTTCAAGCTCACCAGCTGCTCCTCGGAAACCCTATACAGAGTGGCTGTGGGTTGGAGTCGACTGGACGGCACTTAACAACAACAACAACAACATTCTGTTGTAATCCATGTATTGACTTTTACAATTCAATTATATTTTTCCCTAAAAAGTTCTGTAGGTTTCTTTCCATATATCTTAACATACTTGATAATTTCTTTGTTGCTTACTCACGTTTAGATTCTATTTTTTTATTTCTCAAATAATGTTTATATTATTGTTTTATATTCTAATCTCATAATTTGGTGTCTAAATATATTTTTGTTTTTTTCTTCTGATTCTCATTTATGATGCTTTATTTTCATGAATATTGTGCAGTCTGTGCTTGTGTGCTAATATTTGGGTGATCTTAATCAAGGAATCCTCAGGGCTTAAATCAGAAATTCTTTCTTTAAGAAAGGATTTGTATTTTCTTCCTCTGTAATGATGCCTTCATGTGGTAGTCTTATGTCCAGGCCCCCTACTTTGAAGTGAGCCTAAGGCTTCCTCTGTGAGTCCCAGTGTGGGTATTTTTCCTGGGGGTAACTCTAACCTTGGGTCTGCTTACCGCATGATGCTCAACACCTCCCACTCTACTCTCACAGTAACCTGTGAGACAAAGCCATTTTTAGTTTTTTGTATTTTGTTTCTTTGCTATTGTTGCTTTCATCCATAGAGACTTGTTTGTTCCTCTAAGCCCAGTAGTGCTTGGGAAGGTATATTCTATCTTGATGATGTGACAATGAGAGGGCCCTTCAGAGTATCTAGTCTCCTATATAAATGGGATTCAGAAAGTTTGTTGAAAATTTCCATGTTTTTTTTAAATTCAGCGTAGTGGTTACGAATTGGGCTGCGAACCTTAAGGTCAGCAGTTCGAAA